TGCCATGATTTATTTCGGATCATTTCTAGTCTATCATTTATTTCTCTGAACATTGCACTGCGATTAGCATTCTTTACCTTCCTGCTTTACTGGCTGTGCTGACATCATAGCTACTTAGTCAAAGGAGCTTGCAAAGAAAAGCGTCTGGACTTCTTTAAGTTGCTTGAAGACGTTTCACCTCTCATCCGAGAAGCTTCTTCAGTTCTAAGGTCAAATGGTGGAGAGTCCCAGATATAAACCTAGTGGGAGTACCCCCCACAGAGGGACAAAAGGACCCCCTGATGATCCTCTAATCGCCTGAGCCAAGGTGTGAAACTGGGTGTGGGTCCCAATCAGCCAGAGTTTCGGGTGTGTTCATTGTGAAACCTGGCCCCACCTTATCATGCGAATTCCTGAGGTCAGATGGCCCAGGATGTGAGTGGGCGTTAAGGCGTCTGGGAAGGGATCTCAAAACTGGATTATAGATGGCAGAGAGTTGGTGTCGTAAACCCCCGCCTCTGTTCAAAGATGGTCGCTCACAGTGGACATAGATGGCTTCTTTCACTCCTCTTTCAAACCATCTGTCCTCTCTGTCCAAAATGTGAACATTGGCATCCTCGAAAGAGTGACCTTTATCCTTAAGATGCAGATGGACTGCTGAGTCTTGTCCTGTGGAGGTGGCTCTTCTGTGTTGTGCCATGCGCTTGTGAAGTGGCTGTTTGGTCTCTCCAATGTAGAGGTCATGGCACAACACAGAAGAGCCACCTCCACAGGACAAGACTCAGCAGTCCATCTGCATCTTAAGGATAAAGGACACTCTTTCGAGGATGCCAATGTTCACATTTTGGACAGAGAGGACAGATGGTTTGAAAGAGGAGTGAAAGAAGCCATCTATGTCCACTGTGAGCGACCATCTTTGAACAGAGGCGGGGGTTTACGACACCAACTCTCTGCCATCTATAATCCAGTTTTGAGATCCCTTCCCAGACGCCTTAACGCCCACTCACATCCTGGGCCATCTGACCTCAGGAATTCGCATGATAAGGTGGGGCCAGGTTTCACAATGAACACACCCGAAACTCTGGCTGATTGGGACCCACGCCCAGTTTCACACCTTGGCTCAGGCGATTAGAGGATCATCAGGGGGTCCTTTTGTCCCTCTGTGGGGGGTCACTCCCACTAGGTTTATATCTGGGACTCTCCACCATTTGACCTTAGAACTGAAGAAGCTTCTCGGATGAGAGGTGAAACGTCTTCAAGCAACTTAAAGAAGTCCAGACGCTTTTCTTTGCAAGCTCCTTTGACTACGATGACCTGGATGACTGAGAACCTTCACAGACATAGCTACTTAGGTGATTGCTTAAGTGATGATTGCCCATTTCTGTAGAGTTGAAAAGTCTCTTCATCTTGGCCTCTAAGTGTTGGTATTCAGCAGCAATTCAGGTCCCCAGTGACCAGTTGCTGCGAGGGAACATAAAAGAGGGAACATAGCGGAGGCTGTATCAGCAGAAGCTTACCAGATTCATCTTCAGATGGGGTTATTGATTGAACTATTAGTGAGGATTAACATTCACTGTCCTCTGTGTACTGTACTTGTGTGTGTGTGTGTATGCAGGGGAGAGATGCAGTGCACTCACGCAATTATGTGCTCTATCTTCTGCCCACTTATGAGAAGTGGCATTGTCGCCAGAAGATAGAACTACAATTTCTTTTTTCAAAGTCATTACCTTTAGAGTTAATATCATTTATTTGATTTCCATGAAGGAATTCACCGGAGACTTTGAAGTCCAGCAGCTGTATGACTGTAACTGGATTGTGGTCAACTGCTCCACTCCTGCTAACTACTGTCACGTGCTCAGGCGACAGATTTTGCTGCCATTCAGAAAACCGGTAAAGTGTGACATCACCATTACTACAGTATGGTTTCTTTATGTCTCACTTAGGTTGCTTTTGTGCTTGTCATATAGTACTTTAAATTAAAAAAAAAAAAAAAGAGATCAGATCAGAGCTTTCAAACCACACATCACGTATAAACCACTTTTTTCTCTGACGATAAATCGAGAGCACACCTGATATTTCCTGCAGAATATTTTGTTTTCTTTGGGTCCTTTTTGTTACACGACTGAAATCAAAATCGTAGTTGGGAAAGTGTGAGATGTGATGTTTCTATTATAAGAGGCTCAGTTTGACGATATTCATAATTCGGTCTATATGTTCCTGCACTTAAAAAAAAGAAAGTAGAATTAGCTCAGCTCTAAAGTTTCAAAGTGTAAAGCATTTGTCTTTTCTTTTTTCTATATGCTCTTTTTTGTCTCACAGTTTTCAGGCACAGTGAATGTCTTAACTGATCCCCTGTTGTACATAAATGCGATGCTTTGCGAAGCGTGAGAAAATTAGTTCCAGAGCAAATTAGGGAGGAAGCCTACAGGGGATAATATTGTTGGTTTTTTATGGAAAAACTTCGAAGTTCTGGACTTGGTCGACCGAGCACAAAGGGTTTTATTTATTTGATTGTTAAAGAATTGTTTTGTTTTCCCAGTGCTGATGTTGCGTGCTATATGTTGGTAATAAATTAGCGTGAAAAAAGAGATAAAAACTTTTTTCCTCTGGAGTTTTTTCAGCGCACACAATGAAGATACGGCTGACAGGATAAATCTGTTGTTTGTCAGTGACGGAAACTTTTTCCCTTTTCTTCTCCCCTTCAAACAGCTGATCATTTTCACTCCTAAATCTCTGCTCAGGCATCCGGACGCAAGGTCAAGTTTTGATGACCTTGCCAAAGGTAGAGCTTTACCTTTAAGCGTGACATAACTTTTAATGTTTTATGTGTGTAGTTATTTGCATTTATTACTAATGTTCAATATGCATTATGTTTGCAGGCACTAAATTTAAGAGACTGATTCCTGATGAGGGCCCTGCAAGTCAAAGCCCAGGCCAAGTAAAGAGGGTTATCTTCTGCGCAGGCAAAGTCTACTATGAATTAGCTAAGGAGAGGAAGCAGCAAAATTTGGACAGAGATGTTGCCATAATCAGGCTTGAACAGGTTTTTAGTTCTTCTTCTCTGATTTTAAAATGAGACTGACACTGTGTGGTCATTTCTTCATCGGTCATTTTTTGGTCTCCAACTCTCAGATCTCTCCTTTCCCGTTTGACCTGGTCAGTGAAGAGGTGGAGAAATACGCCAACGCTGAGCTCATCTGGTGTCAGGAGGAGCACAAGAACATGGGTTACTATGATTATGTCCGACCACGCTTCCTCACAGTGGTTGCCAACAAGAAACCCATTTGGTAAGAATGTTTATTTATCATCTCACTTCTAGTTAGAGAACTAGCCAAAGCATTTGAGCTCTTGTTGCAGGTGATAAACCTTACGTGTTTGTTTCAGGTATGTGGGACGAGATCCTGCGGCTGCACCGGCGACAGGAAACAAATCTACTCACCTCAATGAGCTGAGGAAGTTTATGGACACTGCTTTCAACATGAGCTCCTTCCAAGACTGAAACTTGTAAAAGAGAAGGTCATTTCATTGTTTTGATGTGGCTTAGTCTTAGGTTGAGAATCACCAAAAACCTATCTCTACACAATTGTTTAAGAATAAAAAGTTCCTTATGAACATTAAGCATAAGCACTAAGCCACAGAATGGTCAATCCTGCATCTTCTGTTGTGTGGTAGAGTGTAGTACACCAGTATTGTTCACACAGCCACGCAGAACTGTGACAATCATTATTGGAGTGGTTTTACTACTTCAAATATTCTTTTGCTGTTATGCTGAATACTGCTAAATAACTATTTTGATATTTATTTTGATTGTAGCTATGAAACACACCCAAAACACCCCAGAGGTACACTTTAACAATAACTATGAATCGCATGTCACAGGTATGAAAACTGTGCTGAAACTTAACACATCAGTAGATTTTATAGCCTGTTATTGTTTGGCTACCTTAGCTGTTTGTGAAGGAGTGTGTATTTATTGTCACACATCACTTCACCAGGAGACATGAGCCAGCTGGCACAGAGACTTGCAGCCATGTTTTCTACTTAGGACATAAGGCTCAGCTTTTTCTTCTGAAGCGCTGGGACACGCACACACATAAACAAAGAACAGCCTTGGATGCTCAGAGAGCAATATTGATGCATGGTTGTCACATTAAAATCCCCAGATATCAAACACAAATGATATTAGAAAAGCTCCTTAAAATTATACTTCTTGTCTAGCTGCGCTGTAGTTTACCTTTCCAACGTAGAGCTGGGAGATTTAACCAGTAATGCAGAAACATAGTTTTGCATATTTAGTGATTTAAAAGAGGTTTATACATGACTGTTTAGTAAATAGGGAAAGAGCCACATATTCATGTGGGAGCTGAAATATGTGCTCAACATGATATAACTGCACCTACAGGGAATAATTTGAATATGCAATAAATATGTTTTAATAAATGAATGACCTGGCATACATACAACAGTTTGAACTGATGAGTAAAGTTACAGGTCATCTGTTAATCTATGATGGGTTGAAATAGGATTTTGCTCACTGACAAATGATTTAATGATCCTGGAGCTATTTTGTAATTGTTTTCAGATTTTGTGTGTCCTTAATTTTCTATTAATTCCATAAATGTGTCTTTAAAAATATGTGGGCTGTCCTGTCATGTGAACCAAATATAGATGAACGCAATATCAAGCAGTGGCATGGAGGTTTTAATTAAAATGTAGGCTTTATATCACTGAAACTCTGCCTATCTTAGTGATTTAAATTCTTATGCAAATCTGTAATTAAAGAAATTACAATGGAATTTCGATCGAAGCCACAAAATTCTAATGGATTATGGCCATAAACCCAAAATGTTTTGTCTATACCCAAATCTAAGGAAGAGTCCAAAGAGATTGTTAGTGAGGTAAAGGTCAGGAGGAACATGTCGGGTGACCTTTTTTTTTTTTTTTTTTTTTTCAAAATCGGCGGTCAGAAATAAATGAAAGACTGTAGTTTTTCCTAAGCATTTCTTTCTTCCTTTTTTGACAAATCATAATAACGTAACTTTGCTTTATGCTCACGCCATAATTTTAGAATCACTGCAGTAGAATGAATGTGGACAATTTTGGGAGCCTTGTTGGACTGACCAGTTCGGCCAGTTGATAATTGTCAGTCTGTTAGTGGTTAAACCCATAAACAGCAGGACAATCTACACTCACCGAGTGCAGTGTGGTCATAAAGTGATGAACATGATCAGCAACAACACTCATGCAGGTTGTCTCATGGGCCTAAGTGTAGAACTCAAGAAAATATCCCCCACCATTACACTGCCACAAGACAGCACAGACTCATGCTTTCATATTCTGACCTTACCATTAGAAACTGAGACTCATAAGACCAGGCAACTTTTTCCAATCTTCTGTTTATCAATGTTGGTGAGCCCGTTTGAACTGTAGCCTCATTTTCCTGTTCCTAGCTGAAAGAAGTGGCACCTGGTACGTTCTTATGCAGCTGTAGCCCATCTACAGCTTTAATGCTTTAAATGTTGTGCATTCAGAGGCCCTTTTCTGCATACCTCAGTTGTAATGGCTGGTTATTCGAGTTAGAGTAATCTTCCTATCAAATCGAAGCAGGCTGGCCGTTCTCCTCAGACCTCTAGAATTTACAAAACATTTTCACCCAGATAAATATTAGTCACTGAATATTACGTCTTTTCCAGAGCATTCTCTGTAAATGTAAAGATAGTTGTGCAGGAAAATCTCACATAACAAGAAGTTAAACATGTGAACCTAATAAATTGACTGGTGTTTATAAATGAATCCATACAGTGGTGTAATTGCATAATATGTACAGTTTTTAATTGCATTTTTTAAATATGGGTTTATTTTCAGTAAGCACTCTCCACTGCAGCAACAGCCTCTCTGCAAACAGGGTCCAGTTTTCCATCTCCGCCTTTGGGGAAAAACAAAAACCAAAAGGTTTTCAGGTCGTGATGACGTCACTCAGTCTATCACTTTAAGTTGATTTGTAGCTCCACGTTAATCACACAAACCTTACATGTATCCCAGTCAACCACACTTACCAAACTCCAGATCATTTATGTTACAGGTGAAAACGACCTCCCCGCTGACCACGAGCTCCACAATATTCCACTCGCGTGTTTCTTCCAAAACGCACAGGTGCCCGCGCGCTCTCAGAGCGGCTGCAGACATATTGGATCGGTCATTAAAACAAAACAAAACAAAACAAAAGTTTTATAACATGGACGAAGGCAGATGACAAGCATGACATGCATGAATCTCAATAAAGCTGGATATGAGACAGACCCTGGAGACCCTGGAGGCGGAAGGTCCTGTGTTGTATTACTCCGCTGGATTTATAAGGTCCGTAGCAAAAGTGTGACCCGCGCATTTGCTGGCATTGTTTGTTGTGTGTCACCTGGGTAACTGATTCAATATGCATCGATTGCTGGCATGGTTAGCCTATGTGGGCAGATCAAAGAAAGAGAAGCAATCTATAACCATCGGTTTCTGCGCCACCGCAGACTCACTGCTGATCAGTGTTTATTACAAATGTTCACACCAAGACATACATACTTTTCAAAGAAATTAACCTGTGCAACCTGATTGGGTTATAGGTAATATCTCTAGATATCAGCAGTGAGAAGGA